ACAGATGGTAGATATGTTTCAGCACAGGAAGCAGCTTGGTGGCTAATGGAGTTCAAAATGTACGACCAAAGTCACAGAATAATCCGTCTGGCTATACATCTTCCTCTGGAAAAAAACGTGTTCTTTAGAGAGAGCGAGAAACGAGAAGCACTGGATCTTGCCGCTACGTTTCTTTGTAACTAGCGGAAGAAGTTTAACTTATGATAGCTGCTCAATCGATCCGTCATACGTACAGTGCTCCATTGCTTGGTGAAACAAAAACGGTTGTCACGTACTTCTTTGCAGTCAACCTTCGCGAAGTTGTGATTGCCTACGATCTTAAGCGTTATTTCCTTCGACTATTCCTTCTGCATGTCAAAGGGCCCTACCTCCTCCGAACAGTGAATGGAACGTTGAACTTAAGTTTTCAAAAGGCCGCGGGGTTTCTTGGAAGATGGCAATGATGCCTTGAAGAGGCCTGAATAATGCAAACGCCTCCAAATATACGTTTCATCTTAGCTATAATCTGGTGCTTCTGCTGACCAACTCAGCTCGGGTGAGCTTTTAAAAGGTCATCCTGGATATGACTGAAGAGTACAGCAGACAACACAAACCAGAACTCATCAAGCGACATGCGTTTGGGAGAAATAGATGAATCCTTGGTTTTGAATGGTATAACGTCAAAACTTTTGGATCAATTCCTGTATGCAGGTAGTGCACGAAGGACAACCTGCTAGACAAAATAGGTAGGTAAAAGGCCCACCAATAATTATGCATAGCTAAGCGATGTCTACCCGTTTTATATCTGATTAATTGTTGAGTAAAAATCAGAGAGGGAGGTAGAGCTTCACATTGTTTAGCTCAATGAACAGAGAATGCCACATTTGAATTTTAGAGAAACTTGTATGGGTGATTTCTCCTGAATTCGGCAATAATACCAATAATAAAGGTAGTTGGTCCCTCTTGAGACCAACTGCCATAAACATAGAACTTACTCGGCTTTTTCACCCCATTCTGAAAATTGGTTATTTGTTTTCAGTAAGTTCCAAAAAAGTTTTTTCCCTTCGCAACCTGGATTAAATATCGTGAGAAAATCGTATTCGGGAATGAAAATGTTCGAAAGGGGAATATTTAACATGGTGTCCTCCGCGATAGGCGGACTTGGTTATAATTTAATACTCTATTAGCCTTAAAGCTAAATAGTTCTGAACTGATTTGCTTAAATGTGACATGTCCACAGCTTTTTACGCAGTCCTAGTTCACAGCTGTAAGTGGATTATTTATAGGTCGTCCTTAGTTGATCCAGATAAAACACACTAAGAGGACGCAATTATGAGGATAGTTCCAATGAAACCCGCCCGAAGGCCATCGTGTAGACGACAAACATAGCAGCGTTGCGGCGGATAAGGTGATGGCAATGCCACCTGGCGGCCATTATGTGGGTGTAGTCTCCGAACTGCGCTCTCAGTTCTTTGTGTGTATTGAACACGTGAAGATGATGTTTATGAAGAACAACGTTGTACGGTTCCTGTGTGCAGAAGGGATGACAACTTCCTGACATGGAACAAGAGTGTCCCAAACAGCTGTCAAAAAGAGGTATAAACGCTACTGAGTATCCGTTGAGGACGACCCGCGTCAGGAAGAAGCTCATCGTGCACCGTATGAGTCACTGATGAGCGAGGATTGATGCTGATGTTCGTGTTAACCGCCGGGTAATAGCTGTATTTCCTCTGCCAGATGCTGCACTGAGTGCTGATGGCGTGTTCAACATCCTGCACGAGCGGCTAGGATACATGGAACCATCAAATAATTCTCTAACACAGAGAGAGTGTGAGCGGCGTGGTCGGCCTGGTGTGGGTGGGGCGATATAGCAGGAGAGGTTTGGCGTGGATGTTGGTGGTGGCGCGGAGGACTTGGCGGGAGGACGTGGCCGGGAAGGCTTGCCCAGGAGGTCGAGATGGCGGACGCAGGAGGTTCTAATCGTCGTCCGTCCCGGAGCTGCGGCGTCGATGGTACTTTTCGCCTGCTACCGCGGGGGGGAGGGGGTTCAAACTAAATCAGGATCCTGCGGAGAATGGTGATGGGACATGGGGATACATCCGGCCACACGGTGGCGCGGGTCGATCAGGAGGGCTGGGTAAAGCTCAGGAATGGACCGTTGAGTTCAAGAATGCACTAAGTTCAGGCATGGAGTATTAAGTTCAGGATGGTCGGATTACGCAGGTCACGCAAGATGTTCGAGATGATCTTGGGTTCCTTTTCCTCCCAGTGCTATATTGGGCTTGGACCCCATGTAAAGTCCAGTATTTTCAGGACCTTGTTGTCTTAATGGAACATTTCAGGTACCGGGTTAATGTTCATTCTAGTGCCCAGGTGCCAGACGTATGGGCACTAAGTCTTATCTTAATTATAATTTATTGGCTAATGGGGTGGTCAACTTGACCCGGGTCTGGGTCAAGCGACCCTAACGCCACCTCTAGGCCATTCCGCGTCCGACTCACTTTTGTGTCCGCGATAATATGAAGAACTTGCAGTCGATCATTGAAAACGTGACACGCATTCAGTTATGACCACTCCTCGATTGATACAGTTAAGTATGAAGCCTATGACTCAGACTGATATAGCTCGATAGAACTGGCGCTAAAACTGTTGGATGGCCAAGCC